GGTAAGGACTCCCAAGCTCAACTAGTAGAAGTATGGGGGGGGGGCAACATAAGCATTGGGGAGTCCTGAGGAACAGGTCTCTAGAGACAGTGCAACAGATGAACCACGTTCCCTAATTTTGAAAAACAAACTGATCTTGACTGATTCAGCTCTAAGATCATCAGGGACTAGCAAAATCCCTTTTAGGTTTGCTCATGACAATCCATGAGTAGTGGTCCATTAGAAATATTGTAATACCATATCACCATCCAGAATTGCATCCATAAGGTCTTATGGAACACCTCATCTGGACAGAGCCCATTGCAGTCAGAAACCGATATAAATGTTGCTATAAAGGTTTCCCATCGAAGAGGAAAATGCCAGATCGTGAAGGTAATGAAATATGAACGTGTCTGGAGAAGTCCACATACCAGCCCCCAAAATATCTTCTAGAGAACAGTTTAACTGGGCAGCCAAAGAAATCGATAGGTGTCGAATCTGGTGACAGGTGATGTGGATCATATTGCAATCATTGACAGATAAGCCTGAATAGACAATATAGATCAACTTCCAAAACCATCAGGTTAAAGTAACAAGTGATAAATCCCTGGACACGGCAGGATCCCAATGAATAAAAAGTCTGTTCCTAAGGCCTTGAAATGATTCCGTATGAGCCACATAACATCTGAGTGCCCTGACGGGACATAACAAATGATCCAGGTCTGATCTACAGTAAAGATGAGAACTGCCAGGTAAATGAATAGAAGAAAAAGATTTGTTTCCTTCTCTGGCAGCGAGATTTTTTAGAATAAATGATCAGTTGGGACAGAGCAAAACATAGGTAGAATTATAGAGAGTCCACTGAACAAGAATGGCAAATAATTCAGAACAACGGTGTCCAGAAGCTAACAGCAATAAAATATAAACTGTGATGGAATGTTGATATAATGAACAGGAGGGATAATGTGATAAAGCATAGTAAAACAACCCTAAAGTCCCAATTAGACAGAAGGAGGCTGATCAGATGAGTCCTCAGGAGAGGAAGCTCTAGTGAAAAAAGGAGCAGGAAACAGGGAGTCTAAGTTTTCCCCAAAATATCCCGCTTCAGAATGAAAATTCAAGTCAGCACCTCCTGGAGAGATACCCTCGAGGGACTTCCAACTCGCCCCCCCCCACCCCATTGACTGCTGACCACCACTAGATAACAAAGGAGGAATAGATAAAGACTGAGTAGCCTCCATGCTTGAAACTGTTACACAGGAATTCATATCCAATTTTTTATTTTCTTGTAATATATTTGTGGGAAAAAACAAAAAATTCAACGAAATATTTCTCTGGATAACAAAACAAAGAATTCCCGATTAGTAGAAAGCAAAAACTAAGAAAATAACAAAAAAGTTAGTCTGAATGCTCATGCTTTGTTGAGAAAAAGTGACTTTATTGTCTGCATACAATGCTTATATACAGTACCTGCACAGAGAGCACGTAAGAGCCGTCATAAAGTTTTGTAAATTAAATATTACGGAGGGCAGTCGAGTGAGGTATAAAGACTGGAGCAAGTGAACACAATGTTAGATGGCAAAGATGAAGATTGAGAAATAGCTATTAGTGTCAGTAAAGGTATGTATGTTTTTGAGGAACGAAGCATGAGGCAAGCTACTTTATTAACACAATTTCTTAGAAATAGTTTCAAAAATATTAGTTATAATAATTTAAAAAACTGAAACTCTGTAACAAATAATTTAATAAAAGAATGATGTTTAATAATGTATAGGTTAAATTTTTTGTAAAGGTTTCAAAAACATTATGGACTTAATAAATAGAAACAGAAAAATCCCATTTTATTTGCTTAATGGTTTTATTGGTAAAATAATATTTCTATATGACTTTGCTGAATTAAATAAAATTTGGAAAGATACACTTGATTTTTTTTGGGGGGGGGCACAAATAAAAGTTTTGATAAAGCTATCTGAGTAAATGATTTACCTGTTTAAGTTAAATGATGAAGTAACATAAGGCTCATTAAAAGCACTTGTTATACTGGTTCAAAAATTAATATTTACTCAAACATTTTTAAAATACATATGGATTATTATATTTAGGCTTCACACATTATCTTACAAGAATATTTTCATGCATGACCAACTTTTGAATCAAACCTTAAAAGTAATAATTATAACTTGTTTAAAAATTGATGACTACCATGATGAACAACTTCATTTCGACTTATTATTTGCATAATAATGAAAAAAAAAAAATCATGAATGTAACTACACCTGCAGTATGTTGGATTTACCTAGTAATAACCTTTGATCAAATACTTATAATATTTAACTTCTGTTTTGATTAATTACCTCTTTTTTGGACATATATAAACCTTGTTTTTTTTTTTAATTTTAAACAAATATGCTTCGCCTGTGTTGCTTTAATAAATAGGTTTAAGTTAGAAGTTATATCAGCAAAATTACATCGTGAGATTTTAGTACCTCAAGGTCAATATCGGTTTTAATAAATTGGCGAGTTTTGGAGTTATTTATGAGGAAAAGAATCACCCCAACAAGGGATTCTCCAATCTGAGGACTTTGGCAGTCGAGAATACTGTGAACAATCACCCTTAGAACTCCAGTTTCTACACAGGAATCAGGATTCATGAGTGCTATTCAAAACAAATAGGAAGTGTGAATTGAAATATGTTTCTAGCACATTAAATAGTATTAAAATATACTATAGCTAAAGTCAGAGCTCTATTTCAATTTTAAGCTGGAAAGTATATTATAAATGTAAAAGCACATAATATAATAATAACCAAAGAAAAAAAAATATATTTCTAGTTTTATCAATACTTAAATAACATTTATCTATTAACTTTTGTTTCTTAAGTAACATTTTAAAGAAAAATGTAGTATAGCAGACAACTTGATAAATTAAAATGGGGCAAAAAGAAAACAGTAGTATGTTTTGGATACAAAACGTTCTATATATAAATTCCAAAAATCTTTATCTAGTATTTCTCCAATCATATAAATATATTACAAAATTGAGGGAAAAAAAAAGGACAACTGTACATTTCATAAATATTTCATTATTATGAACATGGTTTTGCAGTGAAGACACCATAAAGTACAGCTGAACCTGATGACACATTTATTGGTGAAACCATGATCATAATGAATGAAATACTTGTGAAACGTACAACTGTCTTTGTTTCCTAAGTTTTGTAATTATGGATTTTCAACAAGTACCGACAGTTTCAAGTATTAATTATATTTAAAATTATATTCTTAGTTATACCAATTAGGCTTACCAAGCTCACTCAGTGTTCCTAAGCTGGCCTTTACCAAATGATCCTTCTCATGAGTACCATTGTTTACAATAGCCACAAGACACCGAGTAAGAGATGCTGGAAAGTTTTCATGATCAACTGCCAGAATCCTTCTTATCAAACGCAAAGCATGAACCCTTTCTAGTCTGTTATCTAGAACAATGTCTAAACAACGAGTTACTAGAAATGGAAGCTGCACAGAGCAGAAGGCTTGGACTGATTCTTTCCTTCGTATCAAGTATCTGATCGTTCGAAGTGTAGCAGCTCGAACTTCAACAGCTTCATGGAGCAGTGTAACACGGAGACTGAAAATTTCAATAATTTCTCATTATCTGCAATATGCTACAATTTTACCAAAAGTTCTAATATATCTTTGTTGTTGGAATTATTCTAATAAAAGAAAATGCTTAAGCACTTCATCAAATTGTTAGAAAATATTTAATGTAATTCATTAATGGTCATAAGTATACATGATAGTTAAACAAAAATTAATTACATGTACAAAAATAATTAGGTTCAAATTTGAAAAATACATTGTAGTTCAAATCGAAATTAAGAAAACAAATGCTTTACTTTGATTCTTGTGTGATATACATAAAAAGGAATGAGCAAAAATTCCTAACTATGCAGAAAAATTGTTCTGAAAACTTAAAATTATCCTCCATCCAATAGTTTACCCCTTGTGGTTCAGCTTAAGCTCTATAAGTTGCAGTATTGAGAATTCTTAAAAACTACATTTCAGAAATGTAAATCTCAAGTTACAGTTATTATTTAACAATTTCTTTACTTCTTTAATTCAATACAAGACAATTACCAACAAAATATTTCCTCCAATGAGAACCCTATGTCTGCTTCTGGACCAACATGAGTAAATAATTTAACAAAGCTGTTGAGATAGCCAAGCTTGCAGCCTTTACTCACTCCTTCTCGTTTAACAATGTGGGTCAAGATTTCTCGGACATTTTCCCTAGGGTCTAATGGATGAATTAAAACAAAAGTAAAAAAGGAGGATTAATGAAAAAGATTATAATCATTTTCAACACAAAGAAGAGCATTAGAATTGATAAAAAAATTATTACATACTAATAACATACTTATATTCTGTAGTTTATCCTAATTTTATTCTGTCTATAGTCTCCCATAATATGTGGTTTTGGAAAGATCTTGCAACATTCTACAAAGTAATTTTTTCTATTACTCTTTGTTATCATGAATTACAAATTTTGCCTATAAGAAACTTTTATTCTTAGGCTAGAATATATTTTGAAAGCAAGAAGTTTACATACATTCAAGAAAAAAAAATTGTTTTAGATGACTTGGATGACTGAGGGTGATTTAGATGTAAGCATTTTAGGGAACACAAGTTTTGTTTTTCTCTCCTTGTTTTCAGTTAAAATAAGCTGAAACATGTTTAAACGTCCAAGTATTATTTAGTCTTGGGGTCCATGTTAAGAAAGACTTTAGAAGATTGTCTATTTCAGTGTAAATAAAATGTGTATACAATAACAAGTACATTTGGAAATGTGCTTTCTTAATACCTACAAGAAGTGTAACTTAAAAATTCTGATCTGTTGAATTGTGAATCATACAAAAAGCTATTACAGTTTAATTTATCACCTTGTCAATGTAATATAACATTCTTATTCCTCAATAAGCATAAGTACATTTATGAATTTCCAAAGAAATTCAGCACAAAGTCCATAACTCCACTCGATGTCAGTTAAAAACCAGAAGAGTAAATGTGACTGTAATTTCATGAAGCCTCTAGATATAAAATGATGAACAACACATAATGAAATGCATTTCCATCATTACCTGTATGGGATCACTTCAACTTCAGAGTTAATTATGAAGCACTGGGATAGTTAAAGTGTTCTTTGAATATTAAAAATTCAATATATATATAAATAGATTCAAAAACTATAGGCATTTCAAAATTGTCTAGTGGACACAGTTTTATTTAGTGCAGACACATGCTTCTGAACTGCCACTGTTAATGGAATAATTATATGTGTTTGAACATCCATTCAATGAAATGATCTTTGATAAGAACATTTCTACCAGACAAACATCCACTATCATTTTGGTTTGGAAATTGGAGACCATGTTGTTATATATACAAGTATCCTGAAGAAAGCAATAATATCATTATGTACTTCCATTTATAGGGTTCAATATTTACCTATCACATCACATTATTATCATTTTCTCTTAATCAGATAAATAGTGTTCTAAAAAGTTGTGGGGGATACTACAGGTTTTTTTAAAACTTCATCTCCAGGGATTGAAATATTACATTCCTGCATTTCCAAGGAATTTAATCTTTTTTAGTTGGCTTTTCCAGTCAGGAATGCATGGACCATCTGTATTTCTTTAGTCCTGATTATTGAAACTGAACATATTGCATGAATTAAATAAAAAACAATTCATGAAGAAATGCAACTTTACATTAGGGAATGTAATCTTCCTGATGGATACTTACCTTTCTCACATAAATAGCTATTTTTGTTCAGTGTTGCTCTGTGTGCAAAACAATTTTCTGCATTTCACAAGCCTTGAGCTCAATGTACCCTATGATCAACATAGTTCAACTGCATCAACCCTCCACCAAAAGGAGTGCAACACACCCTCTCGACTCATGTGACTCTGTGCAAAACAATTTTCTGCATTTCACAAGCCTTGAGCTCAATGTACCCTATGATCAACATAGTTCAACTGCATCAACCCTCTACCAAAATGAGTGCAACACACCCTCTCGACTCATGTGACTCCCTCTACTCGATTCTCCTGAACTATCACCTTGACTTTTGGCAGAAAATGGAAGCTCCAGTTTTCACTAGGAAGGAAAGGTTGGAAGTATGAAAGGAGGTAAGTACCTATCAGAAATACATTTTCAGTACAGGAAAATTATAACTTCTGATATGGTACATTACCTATGCTCATATAAATAGCTAGAATTCCACAATGAATAAGTGGAGTGACCAGTGCGAGGGAAAGAATGAAACATTCTTCAAAAGCAATGAAGAAACCTCTAATAGAGGAGATCCTTGCATTAGAGGAACATATGTGGGAGACTGCACCACTTCTGCACCAGGTATACCCTTCCCCCAGTGTGAAAAAAGGTGATGCAGACATGGACAGAAAATGGGAGGAGCACATCCAAAAGAAAAAGAATAATGGTTGGACAAGGATCCAAACCACCCAATTCTGAATCTTAATTCCTTAGGTGACCATAATGTGGATGAGAGTAAAAAGGATGAGCTCCAAGGTATACAGTGGCTAGGGTGCGACAGTCTATCAACTGCATCAAAAATCCAGCCACCCAGAACCAACATCTACGTGCGAGTAAGATGAGAATCATACTGTAGGTAAGTCAACTACAAACCAAATTCCCGCCACCAGGAATCGACATCCATGTGGGTGTAAAAATGAGGATCGTACCATCTTCCCCTCAAGTTCAGCAGACTGGAAGGATATATCATACCCACCTATCTGGGAACAGGGCACATGACAGCAAAGTGAGAAAATTAAAGATGTTCTTGTATAGCGAAATAGCTCACTCAAATAAATCAAACAGGAACCACCCCAGCACATTAACATCATTGGTATATTAAAATCTTCAAGAGATAGTGCAAGAGGAAGAATTGTAGTAACCTGCAAGTTCCTCCACTGTGACCCACAATATGGTAGTAGTGAACAAGATTCCAAATGAGTGAGGGAACAGAGACACCTGTAATCCATGTGTGAGAACTTATGTTGATTGGTCCAGCTGTGAATCCAAAACCCAGCCACTGGGAACCAACATCCATATGAGGGTAGGCCGAGGGATCCAATTGAAGGGGTGAACTGTAATTTTGAAAGTTCACTCCAAAGTTACAAGAACATCTCGTATAAGCTCATTTAGAGTTGGAGCATCACATTCTAGAACATCTCGTCATCAAAAACAACAAAACAGCACCGTTCTATTCTCAAGTGAATGGATTCATTTTGTATCATATATCACTATCACATTCAGAAAGATGCCTCCATGGTCAACTATCCCAGTGGCTTGAAACTGGAAAGTGGTAAGGACTCCTTTACTCCACTGGAAGAAAATGCAGTGGAGAGTCTGTAGGAACATCAGGCAATGGAAAGGATATGGGTACCCAAGGCAATGGAGAAAGGGAAAGGAAGTGGATGACAAATCCCTTGAATAACCCACAGATCTGTGGCAATAACTTGCCATAGTGGAATAAAATTGGTCAAGCGAGCCCTCACTGGACAGGAACCCACCATGTAGTCACAGGTACTGTTGGCAACATGTCCATCTGCATCAAATGATATGATGAGAAGAGGAACCCCTAGAAGTAATAGAGATAAACAATCAACCAAAGATGAAAGGGTTGGTTGCTGTCTCATCAATTCAACATAGGATTCCAAAGTCTCAGGAATATTTCCAAACACATACCACTGGAGAAAAGGGGCCATACGTAAGTCTCAGAGATAAGTAGATGGTAAACGAACTTGGGACAATACAGCATCCCTTCCCAGAAAATCCCAAAATCAAAGAAATTACGTGTGCATATAACCTAAAGAAGATATTTTAAGCTTATTCAATGAAAAATTAAAAGGGTATGTACATATTTCTATTTCTTAATTTTAAACATTTCATTGCACTTTAAGTTGATGATAATAGTTACAGTTAGTGATATGGTAGAGAAAATAAAAAATATAAACATTTACCATAAAAAAAACTTTTAATATCCATTTAGGAGGTTCTAGAGGTTATGCAAATAAAATTTGAAAACTGTAAGATAAAAAAAAAAATTTTATACTTAACATCAAAATCACCTTGCACTTGAACTATTCAAAGTCTGAGTGCAAATAACCACAATAAATAACAAATTTTAGTAGAAATAGTAGAAAAAAATCTAAATTAAATAATCTATTTTTCTGAAACTACATGCCTTTAGGAAAGTTCTTCTCATATTTAAACCCAATTTCAGATGGGTTTAATGTGGTAACATGTGTTGATGTCTTTCTTTTACCACTTATAGTTGAATGTTTGGAGGTGTTGGAAGCTTCCTCTGGTATAACATGCTACATCTGGCAAGTCAAACTGAATGATGAAAGTAGAACTAAGAATGCTATTAGAATAGGGGAAGACTTGTATGAATTCTTCTTCATGCCATTCAATCTTTGTAGCACATTGGCAACTTTCAAGAGGCTAATGGAGCTTACACTTGAGGACTGCAAGGGGACAGAGGTTTCATCTATTTGGAAGGCATATCTGTTTTTAGTTGAACAGCTCAAAACACAACTTAGAGCCTGAGAGTAGTATTCCAGTGCATGCAAGATGCACACTTAAAACAGAAACAAGTATAGTATGCATTCAGATGCCGAGGAAGAAGAGTTTCTCAGTCCCATGGTTAGCAGGGAGAGGGCGCTCACTGATCATGCAAAGATCAAAGAAGTCAAGGACACGTCCAAGCCTAAGATGAACTAAGACATTTTGCAGCTTTCTAAATTTTGTGTTGTATTATTAAAGGTTTGTGGCTGTCTGCACTGACTAAGACATCAACACTTAATGTGGACACAAGAATGAGAATATGCATTTTGGTCCTTCAAGTGTGTTTTCGCTGATGCACCAGTGCTAGCTTATCATCATAGGATTGTCCAGATTTCCTGGACAAATGACAGGCATTATGGAATTGAATTAGTTTGTCAAAAGAATGGTACCACATATGTAAGCCATATGTTAAATGTTCATTAATGCCGATACTTTACAACGAAAAGATAACTACTTGCAGTTGCAGTGTTCGTCAAATATTACCATCACTACTTGTGTGGTACAAAATTCACCTTTCTAGTGGATTATGCCTATTAAAAATGGTGAATGTGCTTCAAAAACCCAGAAGGTATGACTGTGCATTAGAAAAATATATTGCACGAGTGTAACATTGTTGTACAATGTCACTCAGTGTCAATGGATTAT